TTGAGTGGAAGAAAAAATTACCACTCAGAAACTGTATTGTGAAGTGAAAGAAAAAAGTAATTATAGGACAGACAAAGGGATACTTCAGAAAAGAAAGGGAATGGGAAGAAAATTCTTGAAACCTACCAGAACTTCCAGTATGTTCTCGTTGTTGTGACAGTAATAATGCATTCAGTTTTTATAGCCGTCATCAACTTCCGCGGCATGTGGATATCGTGTAACGTAGCCGACGACAGTTTCATCGGAGAGAATTATTCAGATAAAGTCGCTCACAATTTACCAACTGTATCCAGATAGTGACTTTCGATGCAAGTTCAACTTCTACATTGTTCAGAGAAAAGCAATATGCGTTTAAAGATTTTGGTTTATCGTTGTAAACCCTATGTAACTGTTCTGACTGCTGCTCGGTGGCCAGTGAGGTTCGACTGTACTAGTCGGTGCTGTAGTGTTATGGCATCGTTCTTGCGAACTGTGCAGTTGTCAGTAAAAAATGGTTAACAGTTTTATTGCCATTGGAAACCTTAGATTTCTGACAAGCAATTTTTATTGTTCTCATTTACTTTTTTCAATTTTCTGGAGTATTCAGCGAGTAAAGATTGGGAAAAATTAAGTAGAAACAACAAAAGTTTATTCTGTTTAATTAGCTCGTTTAAAGTTCGCTCATTTTCTGTTGTTACAGTTTTTTTATAGATTTTGTTATAAATGTAGAAGGAAAGTAATTTAGTACATGTAAAGCAGTAACAATGTTCAAATGAAGATAAAAATAAGAAAGGATCAAGCGAACAAAAAAGCATAGAGCTATTACATCACAGAAATACCTAGCAGAACATTGAAGTCGTATGAGAATGCAAAGTGTTTCTGTAGCCAAGTGGATCGGATGAAAAATAGAAAGATTTGAGCAACGGAGAACAAATTTTTTTGAAAAATTCAATCTTTATTTTGCTAATCAGTTAATTTCCAACTGGAATCTTTATTATTAGCTTCCAAAAGTTTTGGAGCATTAGTTCTTCGACTAATTTAATAATGGTTCCAAACACTTTATGGGGACCGAAAAACTCGCTCTGTTAAAAAGGGTATTTATAATGGGGTGTTCGGTCAATCAGTTTTTGCTGTCAAATACCTTCACCCCGCAAAAAACCAAAATCTTTAACTTGATCAAACAACATTTTTTTTGACTTGATTAAGTAACATCTTTTTTTGCTGACAAGCCGTGTTTATTGGTACATGCTCGCTACTACGTCATATGAGGAATGATCCTTGAACAAAATTGTTTTTTTTTAATTTCTGAACTACTAAATTTCATGGTTGATGAATTGAGAAATTTTGAGGAACTTAACTGTCTATTGTTTAAAAATGTATTTAAAAAATAATGTCATCAAAGTTACTGCAAAACATGACTAAAAACTAATCCTTTATCAAACTATAGAGCGTATATTAGCAGCATTCGTAGTCACACAGATAGGTAGAGGTTGCTAATTACCTACCTACATGATAACAATTTTTTGCTGGTTGTCGAAAGTAAGATGGAGTGTTGAAAAATTTGAGAAAATCTTAATCGTCATACCACGTGCCTTGTTATGGGCATCAAATTCACTTTCATCAAAATTGACTTTATCGAATTGCACTAGTCTACTTCAAATGCAGTACGTATGGCGTAGCAAAATGGAGGGTTTAAGCGACAAAAAGGAATTCGACAAGCTTGATAGTTTTTGGAAGGTAGTTCTTAAACTGAGAAACAAATATATTCTTGCCAAAATGTAATTTAAAGTTTAATTTATTTGCGAAGGTGGAGAACAGTATTTTTATTGTTCCTCTGCAGATACTCCAGAGTAAGCGTAATAGACAGATTATTGTTGGAACGAGAGAGAAAACTTTGTTTTTAAGGGCAGTTAAGCGAGGAATTTGCTAAAAAGGACCGCAGTGCTCAACTACAATTTTTTAGTTATTGGTATATATTTCCAGCAATCGTTTATTGAACATACTCGGAAATTATCAGACAGAGGAATCGTCGTATCTAGATGAGCTTTTATTGAAGATTACTGTTTTCCAAATATTTATTCTCTGCTTCCACAGCACTCTTTTGGCACTATCTATTCGATGAAATATAAGAAGAAAAAATTCAGTTTTCTTTTCACTTTCACTGTTTTAGAGAGCAAGATTTTTTTAAAAAATACTATTGATTCTCAGTACTGGAAACGGCGTTTTTCTGAAGCAAAGCTGTCGCAATCAATGCCTCTTTTTGCACATTCTCAAGAAATACTTATTCCTTTTTCAGTTACATAGTTTTAAACATCAATATTTGTTTTGATTTCATAATGTTTCTTCTGATTGATTTCTAGATTCTATAACAAGAAAAAGGAACTGTTCACATAAAGGGTACTTGAATTAGTACCTTAAATACATTTGTTTCAATCACACTTTATTTCTTTCTGTGCTAGCAAGAAAATTTCCTGTTCTTTTTTGTTTTTTTTTTTTTTTGTCTTTCGCTGACGGTAACCTTCTAAACACCACTGTATTATCAACGGCTTTATTTCTCCAGCTACATTTCTTTGTGGTCAAACCAAGTAAGGTTACTGTTGTTGTTATTACAATAGCGTAATCCCGACTTTACCAACTAAATGCTTCATATTTAACTTCACTCTATTCTTGTTGCTTTAGTGGTTTCCAAATCTGTTCAAAAAATCAAGTTATGGTATTTCTGCAGCTAACGTATTACAGTTGGCAGAGGCTACATAACAGATAATTTAGTGAAAACTAGTAAAGAAGAAATCTAGTTTGATGTAAATTTCTACGGTTTCACGCCAATATTTTGAGTGAACATCAAAATCTGTGATTTAGTTTTTTTTTTTTTTTTT